CAAAATCAGCAGAGAGTGCAATAATATTTTTGTTCAGTTCATTTTAGGTTTCAGTTATTTTTCGAACAAACTGTAAAGTTCTTAGATCAGAAATAACTTAGAGTGATAAGAGGAGGTGACTGTAAGCTCGGAAAAATTAAAATAAAATAGCACAGATTTTATTTACATTTTCTGATTTACATTAACTTTACCTCTATTCGTCAATATTCATATATTATGATTGCAAATGATGTAATTTCTGCAAAAGTCAATTTGTTACCTGCCAACTTTTGCATTACATCAAATAATATTACATCAATAAAATAAATGGTAAAAATATATTCTTTCCATAGTAGTAACTGTCTTGCTGTCAATTTCATTTCAAATGTAATGAAATATTTTATCTTAGTTATAGTAGGTGTTATCTACTATAACTATATAATATCTTAGTTATACTAGGTGTACAATTTCTTTAGGTTGTGTTCTCCATCCCCTAAAAATATGCAAAGCAAATGAAAAAGGCAAATCAACCACTGCTTTTTTTCAGTGTTTTCAATTTTTGAAAGGAAATCGTGCTACTTTACAAATCACCTATTTGAACGCATTTTCTTCATTTCATTTTGATCTTAAAACAATCTTTAAACGATATTAATTATCAAATTTGTATATTGTAAATTTTAGCTATAAATCGTTACACATATCCATACACACAGATTTAAGCCGGTACAGCATGTTATTTTTAAATAATCTATATTATAAAACGATAATGTTAGCTAATTAAATTATTTTCATATACTTATGTAATGCATGTACAGCACGTATTGAAGATTATAAATAGAAATCTGTATATATATATGTATATATATGTTATAAAAGTAATTAAATTTTTACATACAGTGCAATGAATTCTGCGCTAATCTTAAAACATCTTTGAGGATTGCAGTGCAGTTTGTATTTAGTACATATAAGTGACTTTTTATCACAGTTATATTGAAAAGCATTCTAACTTGTATTAGAAAGTAAGTATGTATACACATTTTGCAACACGCACCATAAAATATATACGAATGAATGTGGATGATGTGCCTATACATGTCGCTGGCGTACTAGAAAATTATTTTAAAATCTGTTATACGCATCGCGTTTAAAGATTATCACATAATTCCAAAGTTACCCCAATTTTTATAAGGTTTACTCTATTAGTAATTTTTTCTATATACATATTTATGTACAAACTAACTTTATTTATTGGTGATTTTTAAGAGGCGATTTAAGTCAAACTTGCTGAGTAAAAATTACAAAAGAACTTGTTTGGTATAATTAAGTATTAACTTGCAATAAGAAAAAAATAAAAGTTTTACTATTATTTTTTTGTATGATTTACCAATAAGCTCGTATATCAAATAAAGACAGTAAAATATGAAAAAAAAAAATGTTAAAAAAAATTATAACATTTAAAATAAAAATTAAGCCGCACTTCTATTAGCCAATTTTATAGTCGTAATAGTTTTACGATACAACCATGAGTATATAAAAAATTTTTTCTTTTCGGCAGTTTGTATATAAAATTTTCATATGAAACTGATGTATAAATTTATAAGCCAATTAATGTACTAATGAAGGGGAATTTTCGATCGTTTTAATTCAGGATCGGAAATTGTTATATATACGACTGTGAAAAATTTAGGAGAATAACCTGGAGAAATTGAGAAAAGTCGATTTTTATACTTTAATTTAGATAGTACGGCGGCTTTACACATATATTTTAGGCGACTAGATTTTTCTGTTATAATTTTTTAAAGATGAAAATATAGTTGATGATAATTATCAAAAATCAAATTTTTGACACAAATGTCATTGAAATTTATGTCATTCTTTATTTTGTTAAGCTTAATGGTTCATTCTACTCACCTCATACCTACTTATAATTGGACAGACGAAATATTAACAAAAAGAAAATTTTTTTAATTTCATAAACGTCAAAAATGAAAAATGTTGTAAGAAAAACAATCCAGTTATATTTTAAATATGCGGTATACGATTGAATATACAAATTTTTTTTGTCTGCGCCAATATAAAACTCTTGGACATTTTAGGTTTCAATTTGTTTTTACATGAGTTTTTGTTTTATGTAATAATTTAATAATTTATTTTTACTGTTTTTCATATATTCTTTCTCGTATTATTGGATTAAGATTATAAATACAATACTTTTGTAATAACATAATTATGTTTGTTATATACTATGTCGTATGTCCAAAGTACGAGAATACGAGTACATACCTATTTATGTCTCAATTGATTACTTTTTAATAAAATTTTTAAAGTATCTCTTATACATGTATAATATAGATGCGGCTATTGTGTATAATAAATGATATGATTAGGTTACCGGCATTCTTTATAGGAAACTTTTTAATTCTTATGTAATAAAAAGTTGTCTAATATAATAAAAGAAATTTTAATAAATTTTATTTTCCCAAAATTTTTGTATATCTCATAGCTTTTAGGCATAAATTTTTTTTTTAGGAAAGAAAACATGTTCTGAATATTTTATTGTTGTAAAAAAAAAAATTAGTTTTGCTCTTTATTTTCTTTCTTTTGGTTTTTTAAAACGTACTCTAATTGTTTTGTAATTTTTTTCTATACAAGGTCACAAAGTAATGGATGAGTTTTGTAATTTGTAAATGGTAACAAATTTTGAACTTAAAAATTTGGAAAAAGAAGAGAAAAAATAATAAACAAATTAAAATTACAAGTATTTTAAATTTATTTTCAATTATTTAATTATTTTTTAATAAAAATATTTATGTATAATTATATGTTCAAATATTTATGCATGGGTATGTGTGAATGTATTATTCATTTACATAACATTAAATTAGTCAACTTGCCAAAAGCTCAAATTAAAAATTTAAGGTCAAATTAAAAATTTAATTTACCTAATAGGAGAGTTGGTTAGCAAATATATGATCTAAATATTTGTTCATCAAAGCCCAGATAACCGAGATTTTCGCTTACTATAATTGGCGGTGCTTTTTCAAGCCATCTCGTTCAAACAAAACCATGGATCGAAATTTATACACAAAACATCTGTAAAGTATGCCAAAATATTTGTATGGGACGGATAAGACACCAATGACATTTCGAAAAATGCTCTTTGCAATGAGATTTTTGCGAAACACTAATTTATTTCACTAAAATATCTGTAAGAAAAAGTGAAATACTAAAATATGTCTATGCGGAGTGCAATTTATGTAAAAATCTGTCTGTATTATAATTAATGTTAATAATTTGTAAATTTTGTAAATCCCCTGAACATTATGGGTGCTACTGTTTATATTACAATGATTATTATAAATATATCGAACTAAAATAATTTATAATTTTGTGAAACACTGTCTTTCTCTAATATAAAATTAAAATAAGATGCATTTTTATTTTTGATAGCCTCTAACATTTAGTTGATTAACAGCATACTTTTTTTTTAAACTAATTATAAATAAATTTGATGAATAATCTTTAAAATATACAAAAATAAAAATAATTATAATAATAAGTTCATTAATCGCCAACTATATTTATAGACTAATTATCTGACCTTTAATTATTTATTATCATTAAATTATTGAAATTTTTTTTTCTATTTTCATAATTTTTTTTTTCGGAAAATAATTCATAAGTAAAAAATAAATCTTAAGTATAATGGTGTTTTTAAAACAAAAGACATGAGATAAGAATTTGTTTTTTTTAAATAAAATTCACCTCATTATTTTGCTTTTCACCATACACTTCCCTTTTTGCTCAATGTTATTTTTAACATTTTGCTGTAATATTGTAAACAGTAATCTGTAAAAGAATTGTGTATTGTTATTATATGTGTAATAAATTTTTTCGTTTTTAACAAGTTATAAAAACATTATAAACAATTAACTTCGTTTATAATATATTTTTATTTAGTACATGATAAAAATAATGTGGTTTCCATTATGCGCGTTGAATTTAGTATTTTTATTTTTATGTTATATTTAACCGAATTCTAATTTTTTACATTATTTCATTGCTGAATAGTTATTAACTCATTCTTCTAATAGTTCTGGCTAAATAGTAATTACTTCTAAACAATAATTTGTACGATATGAATGGCGTTTGAGGACTATTTGTAGATTTGAACAGCTGCATATTAACTTATTTCTGGAACAAGATAAGCATAATGTACTATTAAATTGTTTTCAATTACAGCGTTATAACCTAGATTTTTTTTTTAAATTGTTTTTGAACTAGAAATTTTTAAAGCAAAACAAGAAAAATTTTTAGTTTCGAAAATATTCTTATCAATTATAAAATTCATTCGTGTAATTGTAAGTATGTGAAATTGAAAAAGTTTTAATTGTGTAAGTTTTACATTTATTTTAATAAATAAGAAAGCATAACTATAGTGAGAGATCATTTGATTAGTTAGCGTACAAATATTTCAATTAACAAAATATTTTTTCAAAATAATTTTTATTTTAATGAAACAAAATTTTTTTACTTTAAATGGAACCTTTTACAGAATCAATATTTTGCTTTGAAATATACCGATTAATTTTCTGTTACACATAATATGTATATCTACATGTGCTCAATCAACTGTAAAGCGCATAGTATACAATAAATTTCGTACACAATATGAGTATTGTGCTTAATATGAAATTCTTTTCAAATAAATATTTTGCAGAACTCACCATTGATTTGATTTCAGCTAGACACTCCAATGCAAACTGTAAATGTTAAAAATTTAAAAGCTTTTTCTTGTCTTTAACTTTAACTTAATTTTCTGCAAAAAATATTTTCTAACGGTGGATATTTTGTTTACTTTTTGTTTTTGTATATTATTTTTTTTACCGTATAACAGTGACAGGTATACTACATTTTTATTTATGTATAGTCAAAATAAACAAAATAAAAAATGAAAAATAATTTTTTTTTTTTTTATTATTATTACCATTTTATGTTTACTTTTAGTCTTGTTTGAAACACGGCGCGCGGTCGACGTATGCTCGCAATATAGAGAGTTGTCATCTATATAGGATGAAGAGTAATTTTTAGTGTTGTTCTTGTTATATTAATGTCTCTGATTAAAAATTAATATAACAAATAAATTTTAGTATTTTATGTGTTTTTTTTTGTTTTACATTCTATTTTTTTTAATTTTAATTAAATTAGTATAGAATATAACAGTTATTTTGTATAAAAAGAAAAATAATAAAAATTGTTTTTCGTTTTAAATAATCATTTTTTTTTTGTTAATGGATTAAAATACCAGCGTTTCTATTGCACATTTGGAAGCTATTCAATATATAAGGAATTTATAAGTGTAAAACAATTTTGGTTAGTCTTTTATTTTTAATTTAAATTAATTAAATTTTTTATTTTGATTTTATATGGAATAAAATAATTCGGTTAATTAAAATGAAAAATTAAAATCGAAGGTTAAGTTGTTCTTTATGCATATAAGAAATTATTTCTTAAGGGGGCACATTAGAACTGGAACAGTCTATAAAAGGATTATAACATCTGCATATATTTATGCAATACACATTAAAATTAATGTAAACTAAAATTATGTACACAATGGTTGTATAAAATTTTTAGATCAAATATAATTGAATTTTCTTGTACATATACTAATACACATACTAATTTCGTATACTAATTTAAAATTACAAAATCGAATTATTTAAAATTGAATTAATACATAGATTTTATAATAATAAATTATTTAATTAAAAGATTATTATTTAATTAGGACAAATAATTTGGAAACTGAGACTTAAACCAAAATAATCTGAAAAATTTAAACTACAGTGAATAATAAGAAAACTCAAAACCTTAAAATGGTTTTGTCGTAAGGATTTTAGTATGCTTCGATTAATGTTGCAGTTTAAAGTTTTTTATTGCAAGGATTACGTCTGCTGGAATACCTTCGAATTATAGCATTTCATTTAATTCTTAGTTCATTTCCATGTTACTTACTTCATTTTTGAAAATGAAACTACCACTTCGTTTATTCTGTTCACTTCCATTATTGAGTTAATCCCCACAAGTTATTCGAATAAGGATAAGTTCTAGAGGTAGCGTTTTAGACGTGATAGGTGAAAGGAAGGCGCAAAAGATGCACTTTTTGGGTTGCGCTGCATTGTTGCATCATGTTTAATCTGATCTAATATAATTATTAAATTACTATGCATAGATTATAACTTGGTTTCACTCGTTATTGAGTTATCATATAGATTGAGTTATTGTATAGGTTAAGTCGAATTGAAACTTAATGGTAATAATACTTAAAATATTGCACATTTATCGAAAATTTAGCTGTCATTGCACAAATTATATATATATTATATAATACATATACTTATTGTTTGTACAATTTTAATCCAATAATTGAATTAATCACTAATTCAGTTATTCATTAACATATTCTTTTATAAATAAAAATATTTTTGAGGCAACTTTAAATTTTTATTTTTAAATTTATTCAGAACAGTTTATTTTAGCATTTAATTTGTTATTTAATTTTCTAAATTTTTGTTTACGAAAAAATACTACACAACTTTGCTTCAATAGGAACATGTCTAAAATTTTAGTACATTTATACACCATTAGTGAGATGGCGTTTACATTTTTAAATAACCTTTGAGTAAAAACAAATTTAAAATTACAGTAAAAACTCAAAAATTACTCAAATATTGAGTTTGTTTTGGTTTGAACAAAAGAGATAAATGTAAGAATAATTATTTTCGAGGGTGACCTAATTATATTCTAAATTTCGAATTTTTAATTCGATATTATATCATATGGAATAACAAATACAGCAGCCCAGTTTTTTCTTAAATATGAAATTTTCTAAATATAGATATTGTACCAGAACAAAATATTCAAAATATTTTTTTAAATATCTAATTCGATATTAATAAAATTCATAATATAAAAATCGATTGACATCAATACTTTGTGTTTATTACACAATTAAATCGCTTTCAGAAAATCACTTGAATTTAGAATAGAAAATTTCACCTTTTGATGTCACCAATCTACAGTACGTATGTACTTATACTAAAAAAAATTATCAAATTATCTTCGTATGTGACAATGTACATCAATAAATTTCCGAAATTGTACATGAAAAATATTTTCATTTGGTTAAATTATTTTATAAACCGTACAAGTCACTTGTAGCTCCTCTTTAATTGTATGTACTCGTATACTCATTTTGTTATTATGTTTTCTTTTTATTAATGAAATGTATAAATTTCATTTAAGTTATTCGAAATTACTTGCACGTAATTATAGTCCGGTCACAAAAATAAATTTAAAATTACAAAAACAAATCTAATTGAAATGGATGGAGCAACATTATTTTATGGATAGTTTTAAAATACTTAAAAAAAAACAACAGAACTGTTTTCCATTGCTATGTTTATTAAGAATTCTTAAAGTCATTTCAATGAATTCAAAAATGGAAAAGAAAACTAAGAAAAAAACAAAAATTACAAAATTATGGATAAGAACAGTTCCAATTTTCAAATTTGTATTTGATTCTTTATAATACAAAAAAAAAACATTTAGAGTTAGACCATACCATTATCATTTTGTAGCAAAAGTTTTTTTTACAAAATAATAAAAATTGAACTGAACTCCAAAATAAAGGCGAAAAGGCCTTTACGAAATATGGGAAAAATTCCCGAAAAAAAATATAAAACTATTTTAGTTATTTTGTAAGGTACGACAGTATAACTTCGGCTTGAATATATTACAGTCTGTATTTTGACGTTGCCGTATGTTTTACAAATAAATACGACGTTTTTGATACCTAAAGAGTATAAAATTTTTAAAAATATTGTGTTGCTCACATTGTTGTTGACATTGCGAGAATTGTGCGAGATGCCAAGAATGTGTCGCTGAGAGAATTTTTGTCAGATCAAATACTCCTACAATAGTAAATTATCATAAATGTATTTCTAGACGCTACTAATTTTTAAAGAAATTTTATAGCACGATTTTGATCCAAAAACGAAAACGGTTATACTTTCATTACATTTCATTTTTTTTTTTTTTAATTTCTTTTTATTTTATTTTACTTTCTTGTCCTTTCTTTATATTCAATGAATCTTTTTGGCGATAAAATAAAATCTAAGAACTACTTAAATACGAGGTCATTTAACTGTTAATAATTTATATATTATTTATTTATTTAAGTGTTCATGTACACGTTCATATAAGTATTCATAATACAATGTACATATATATAATTTGTGTACCTTTTGTTCGAGTATATAATATATTTCATATATATTTATAAATAGAATTTACAATAAATGTGCATCGCACTGTATATATTATTGTATTTATATTGCGAATGATATACAATATTTTGTTGGTGACTTATAAATGTCGCTAATAAATTATATAAAGATTTGAATACATATGAAATTGGTATCCAAGTGGGATGAAATTTTTCTCATTTATTTATTTGTTTTTTTTCTTTTTCATAGGCCATAACATGATTAAAGAAAATTATATACATACACACGCATGTATAACAATTTGAAAATTGAGATTTTGAATTTTTTGCATATATAATGACATTTAACCGTGTGCGTGTATTACATTACGTTTTGCACATGATACTTTTGAATTTTATGCTTTATGTGTACTTAATTTTATTGTGTACATTGAATATATATGCTCATATTAGTGAATAATAAGTCGTTGATCCAGACAAATGATGATTTAAACCTTAATTCTAAATGACAAATTGACAAGTTTGGTTTTTATGAAGTAAAGAACATTGTAAAGAATTTTTAAAATTTTATTTTTCTTAACTTTTGTTTTTTATTATTTTGATAAACTTTATATGGTTATCGTTTTTGGATAGTATTTTTTATGAACAAATATTACACATTATACCTGACATTATTATGTTTGTAAGTCATGTACAATTTTTTAAAAATTTCACTTTAAATTTTTTTTTTTGACATGCTCTTGTGAGTTTTTCGTTCCTTTGCAATTTAATAAGAATTTGTTTTTTTAAATGGAATTTGCAAAAAAAAAAGTTGAAAAGAAATTGTATATTAAAATGTAAGGAATGTTGTTATTCAGACGAGTAAAGTGAAATAATATGAAGAGAAGGTTCGGGAGAAGGGAAGGTAAGCCTGATGAATTGAATGAGACAAAAATTAAGGGTGTCTTTATAACGGTATAAGGGGGTGTATTTCTTTAAAGAAATCGAAAATCTCATATGGTGTTCAAAAAATAAATATCAAACTCTAAAAATAAGCTGCCAAAATTTCATTTGATCTGCAATTGATAAGGTTTGTTTTGAAGAGGTGATTTCCGTTTTTGAAATTAATGCATGACTTTATCTTTGAAAACATTTTTTATTCTTTAATTAATGCATAACTTTATCTTTGAATACATTTTTAATTCTTTAATATGAGCGCTCTATTGCCTACAATGCAGATACAAAATGTTGTCTTCTCACCTATTCACCTATTGTCATATTATGTTGCATAGTATGAATTAGATTTCGGGTAATAGGTATATATTTTGCAATTCACAAATAATTTTGGGTCTTAATGTTAAAAAAATATTATGGGAATTAATTATATAAAAAACTAGAAACTAATCATAAAGTAGTTTTTTAATAAAATGGATTTGTGATTATGATTTTGTTTAGAAAATGCTTTGGATTTTCTAATTAATTTTTAAATTTCATTCAATAACTTTTTTATAATTCCCAATTCTTGTACAATATCTTAACAAATAATTTCATACAATTAATTAAAATATTTTTTTTCTGGTGTGCAATTTGCCAAATATTTCAAAATCGCATTTTTTAATAATAATTTATCAATGTAAAACAAAAGGTACTATACTAATACTAATCAATCTAATTAATAATTAGTATATTTGAAATTTGCATTTGAGTATAAAAGCACATTAATATTGCATGAAAAAAAAATATTAATAAAGTTTCTCATTTAAGTCTTTTGTTTAATTTCTTTTCAATAAGTGTACAAGAAACACGCACATTTTGCTTCCAAGGTTACCGTAAATACAATACACTTAAAAAAAAAAATTTTTTTTAATTTAAATTTTTAAGAGGTTTGACCATTATGAAATTATGGCCTTATTATTGAAATTAGTCTTTATTTGCATGCATAGAAATTAAATTTGAAGTAAAATTAAAAAATAAATATTAATAAAGACTAATAATCGAATTTCATCAAGGATGTGTTAATATTAAAATTAGAAAAGAAAACAAAAGTAAAAATGAAAAACAAAGAGATGCCAAAATTCAATTTAAAAATTTTTTTTGTTTTCAT